ACACGAATTTCCTTTTTCTGCATATATTCGATCAAAATAAAAAAAATTTCTTCATAAAAAAATAATTTAAATCATGGTATATATATATTCAATATAATAAAATCCTTTTTATATTAAATGTATTAAATGTTCACATTATTTTAACTTTTAATAGAAAATTAAAGTCCTTTCTCGCGACATTTCAGAGTACACGCGCGAAAGTCCACAGGACATTCACAAAATTAAACGAAATTTTGATTCCAAATTGCACCCATTTGAAAAAGCAGTCGAGTATACAAGGGCTCTTAATGCTGTAAAATTGGAAAGACTATTTGCAAAACCATTTGTGGGGGCTTTGAGTGGTCATGGCGATGGTGTTTATTGTATGGCCAAACATCCCAAAAAATTGGCAACTATTATTTCAGGGAGTGTTGATGGAGAACTGAGGATTTGGGATTTAGCAGAACGAGAAAGTGTATGGAAAGTAACTGCACATAAAAGTTCTGTCAAAGGGATTTGTTGTAGTGCTTTAAATATGGGATTATATTTTTCATGTGGAACTGATAAAACTGTAAAAATATGGAATCCTGATGAAAATAACGATGAGGTATAATTTTATTTGTTTCAAAAAATAGGTTTATTTTGAAAAGCTTAAATATCGTCCCTTATTATTTTTTTAATTGATAAACTTATAGCCAGTAAATACATATATTGGAAAATCTGCATTTAGGTTTGTTATAAAGTATCCAAAAACTTTTTTTCTTCATAAAATGAATAGTTACATTGACAAATTATTAGTGCGATAGATCATCATCGTTCAAAACCAATATTTGTAACCTCTGGTTCGCAAATTGAAGTGTGGGATGAAAATAGGTAATTGATATATATTCAATCATAATTATATATCACATTACTAATAATATTTTCATTCTTCTATTCATTCATTTATTAAGATCACGTCCAATTACAAGCATGGATTGGGGAGTTGATACAATTAACACTGTAAGATTAAATCAAACAGAGACAAATATTCTGGCAAGTTGTGGCACAGATCGAACAATAATTCTTTATGATCTAAGGACGAACTCTCCAGTATCAAAATTAATATTGCAAGTATGTTGTCCGTTATAATTCTTTTAAAAAAAAATGTTTCTAACAACAACTATTCTAATATTATATATATTTGCGAATATGTCTAGATGAGAACAAATGCTATCGCTTGGAATCCAATGGAGGCTTTTAATTTTACTGCAGTATGTATTAATTATAATGATAATAATTTATATAAATTTTTATAATAATTTTGTATTAATATATCCAAATTAATTAAATTATAAAGGCTAATGAAGATCATAATTGTTATACTTTTGATATGAGAAAAATGAAAAGTGCATTAAACATTCTCAAAGATCATGTTTCAGCTGTGTAAAGTATTCTTTAATTTTATTTTTAGAAAGAGATTTGATAAATATTATGATGATGATTGATTTAATATTAATATTAATAACATTATTATGGTTGAAAAAATCATTACCAAAATAGATTAGATGTAGATTATTCACCAACAGGTGAAGAAATAGTTACCGGTTCATATGATAAAACTCTTAGAATATTTTCAGCACGTCAAGGTCACAGTCGAGATATATATCACACAAAACGAATGCAACGTTTATTCTGTGTCAAATTTAGTATGGACTCGAAATATGTTCTTTCAGGATCTGATGATGGAAATGTTCGACTTTGGAAAGCTAATGCATCTGAAAAAATTGGTCCTGTATGTGTTAAGGAAAATTATGGGAAATTTTTCTTGATTAAGTAGATAATTAAAATTTGATTTATGTGCAATCTTTATTAGATCTGTGTATTTATTCTTCTATTTGTTTATTTTATAGAGAGATTATAGGGAACGATCATATTTGGAGTATTCGGAAAAACTTAAAGCACGCTATAAACATCTTCCAGAGGTTAAAAGAATTGCAAGGTAAATAATAATTACAATAATCAATCAATCAATCAATCATTTAATTAATATGTTGCTATTTTCATAAAATAATATATAAATAATTAACATTATAATTCTGTAATTATAAATGAATTTCAAAAAAGGGAGATAAAAAATCTTTCAATGGTGATTATAATGTAACTCTTATTATTACAATGATACTGGCTGCAGTGTTTGAGATTCAATTGTGCCTTAACATAAAAACAAATTTTTAAAAAATCTGGCGCAAATCATCCAAACATTAACACATTTTAGGATCATTTTTAAGGTTCACTTAAGTTTTTTCTAGTTATTGTATTTATAGAAGGTATTTGATTTGTATTATTATTATTTTTATTGAACATAGCTTTATTTCTTTCATTTCCCATTTATATTGACATGTAAAACTTGATTTTTCAAATTATAATAAACACTTAATGTGTATGAATTTGATTTATTTATTTTTGCTTCCTATGTTGTAAAATAAACATCATTGTTTGTATGAGAACCTTATGCATAAAAATTATAATAACCAATAATAAAAAATAAAAGATAAAAGTAAAAAGAAGTATAATATTACAATCAAAATTAAAGTAATAAATGAAGCTATCAAAGAGCTAAAGAGCAAATACAGCCTTATTTACTATTTAAAATAAAACAAAAATCAATCAACAGTTAATATGTTTTCAAAAACAATGATATTGACTGTAATAATAAATAAATGATGAAAATACTTACACCCTATTTATTATTTAAAATAAAACAAAAAACAATCAACAGTTAGTATGTTTTTCAAAAACAATGATATCAGCTTTAATAATAGTAATGATGAAAATGCTTACTCCCTATTCATTATTTAAAATAAAGTAAAAATTAGCAGTTAATATGTTTTCAAAAACAATTGACTATAATAATAGTAAATGATGAGAATACTTACACTCTTATTCATTATTTAAAATAAAGTAAAAATTAGCAGTTAATATGTTTTCAAAAACAATTGACTATAATAATAGTAATGATGAAAATACTTACAATCTAAATAAATCAAAAATAAATCAAAAATCAATCAACAGTTAATATGTTTTCAAAAACAATGATTATTGACTGTAATGATAGTGTAATGATGAGAATACTTACTTCCTATTTATTATTTAAAATATTTAAAATAAAATGAGAATTAATCACAGTTAATATGTTTTCAAAAACAATGATATTGACTCTAATGATAGTAATGATGAAAATACTTACACCCTATTCATTATTTAAAATTAAGTAAAAAAAAATCAATGGTTAATATTTTTTCAAAAACAATGATATTGACTGTAATGATAGTATAGTATGAAAATACTTACACCCTATTCATTATTTAAAATAAAACAAAAATCAATCAACAGTTAATATGTTTTCAAAAACAATGTTATTGACTGTAATGATAGTAAATGATGAGAATACTTACTTCCTATTTATTATTTAAAATAAAATGAGAATCAATCAACAGTTAATATGTTTTCAAAAACAATGATATTGACTGTATTAATAGATGAATGATGAAAATACTTACTTCCTATTTATTATTTAAAATATTTAAAATAAAGTAAAAAACAATCAATGGTTAATACGTTTTCAAAAACAATGATATTGACTGTAATGATAGCATAATGATGAAAATACTTACATGCTATTTATTATTTAAAACAAGACAAAAATTAATCAACAGTTAATATGTTTTCAAAAACAATGATATTGACTGTAATAATAGTAAATGATGAGAGTACTTACAACCTATTTATTATTTAAATAAAATCAAAAATCAATCAACAGTTAATATGTTTTCAAAAACAATGATATTGACTGTAATAATAGTAAATGATGAGAGTACTTACAACCTA